AAACAGAGACAAAAAATGCAAAAAGATGTGCAGCAAATGCAAAGGTTGATGATATTAGTGATTGTTGCAAGACGACAAACTGCCAAACCATGGAATTGGCCAAGGTCACTGAAGTATATCTGGGTAAGGATGGATTTGTGAGAAAGCTTCTATTGCTCATCAGTGACTCAGCTCTGGATGATCAAGGAAAACGTCTCAGCAAACCAACTTATCTGGAGCAGCCTGTCCACAAGACAGTTACCCTGCTTGAAGCTGAGTAGTGCAGCTGTCTGTCTACCTTCCTTTTCTATTCTTTAAGGATGTTCTTATTTGAATCCTACACTTAAGTTCATTAGAGAAATCACAGGTGATTTGGTGGGAGTGTAGCTACATCTAGAGATAGTCATACAATTTAAGTTCATTGAATAATTTAAAAAGTGTACTACCTACGCAAGTATGTTGGTGGAGATATGAACTCCATCACTTCTCCGACGCAAGTGTCACAGGGTATGGAGTGTGTACTTACCTGAGAGCAATCAGTGCATCAGGACAAATCCACTGTTTTCTAGTCATGGGTAAGGCCAGAGTCGCCCCCATGAAGGTCACCACCGTAGCAAGACTTGAGCTGTCAGCAGCTGTTGTTGCTGTCCGTACTAGTGATCTGCTCAGGAAGGAGCTGGAAATATTAAGTGCCCAGGAGATTTTCTGGACAGACTCAAAGGTGGTCCTTGGATACGTTAATAACGATGCCAGATGATTTCATGTCTTTGTGGCAAACCGCATCCAGCGTATCGAGGAAAGTACCAGTTCAAGTCAATGGAGACATGTGCCCTCTGAGGAAAATCCTACTGATCATGTGTCAGAAGTGATGTGAAATTACAGGTGGTGGTTTGTATGTTTTGTAGGGCTTGGAGGGTAGAATTAATTGAGATGAAAATGCATGTATTTTGTAAAATATTTTTGATAAATGAAATCTCTCTCTGGCACTTTGTGTTTGTGTAAGAGTAAAATATGTGAAGATAAAAGAAATCCTCTTACTGCTCTGCAGACAGTCACGGTCCTGACGCAGTTGAGTGCGATGTTGAGAAACAGCCGTCTCCGCCTGTTAGAAGCAATAAAGCAAATGTGAGTCTTTTGAGGTGCTGTAAACGTTTGAGCTGCAGTGATCAATGTAAAAAATGAGCCTTAGAGTGTGTTTTATTGTTAAATATTTAAGTAGTTGAGTCGTGGCACCATACAGGTGATTGGTGGTGATTCGGCGTGATCTGGTGGTGATAACATAAAAATGCAAGATGTGGATTTGAATTGCAGTTGTGAATGGTAAAAATGATAAGTGGACAGGAGTAATAGTTTGTTTTTGTAATTGACACACTGAACTACAGACTGACAGACTAAATTTAAAGAGGGTTGTAGCTGCCATTAGAGATAGTCATACAATTTAAGTTCATTTAATAATTTAAGTTAAAAATGAGAATAATTTCATGTTTGGATAAAAATATTTATTTGGTTTATTAACATGATTATTAGTTAGAATACACATAAATCATACATGAAAAGGAGCTGTGTAATATTTGATAGCGGAACAAATGGCCTTTGCATTGTTGTGGGTTGGGCCAGGGCCATTACCTTTTGTCACAGGTGTGCGCCACCTTCCGGTCTTACGGACAGCCGCTGGTCTTTATTAGAAGATGGGTGAATGTGGCACATGTGAATGTAAAGAGTGAAGAACTGGAGTTGGAGTGGTCTTCTGGACTGCGCTGGTCCTGGTCTCCTAAAGCGGGACATCTGCATTAAAAGAAGACACAAGCACATGTAGTGACAGACAGACTCTGTAGGCTGAGATGAGGCAGGGTGGGTACTCTGCCTTTTCCCACACATGTAAAGTGGACTGATACACAAGCAAAGATACAGAGTGTTTTCTGCAAAGCCTTATCTCTCATGTGTGACCAAATATAATATGTTTTGTCAATGATATTTCAATGTATGTCTTTTTTGTGGAGAAAACGGGCCAGAGACGAACACAAATGTGTTGTAAAAGACCTCACTAAAGCACTACAACCCTACATTTCCTATGAATGATATCACCAGTTAAGATGTTTTAAAGTCAACAGAGAAGCTTGAGCATGTGGGGTGAACTGGGCTTGCTAAGTTAGCTAAGTGTGAATAATTTGGTTATTTTGAATTTGAGACTACTAAGTTGTGATTTCCTTTGACATGACTTGGAAGTTAATGGAAGAGCTACACAAAGACATTAAATGTTACTTATTTTGATAGTTGTTTAGTGATATTTAATTGAATTGAAATTACCCAAATGTTTGTAGCATGTGCTCCCATCCATGCTCTCTCCAAGCCAAGGTGAAAGGTCCCACTGCCAAACAGAAGGTGGGTGAATCCAATGTGATTTATACAAGGGGGAACCTGGATCGTACTAAGTGGGGTAGAGAACAGAGGGGTGTTTGGCTGCTGCCTGAAACAGCAGTTGTACAGGTTGTATGTTGAAATGTCAGTCAATCATATGAACTCCGACCGAGTGGCTTAAGGGGTTAGAGGGCTACTCTAAAGAGTGATTGTGCGTTGGTCCTGAAAAGTAGTGAGATCAAATGAGATTTGAACCCACAAACAGAGGACAGAGTGAAAAGTTTTAAGACAGACACTCTCCCCTTGTCTGACTTGGTGGCTCAATGCGTTAGATTCCTGCACAGGAATTTTGAAGGCATGGGTTCAAGCCAAGAATCTCATTCAAATCCAGTCGTTGCCAATTTCGAGTGCCCCAAAGGGATGGGAAAGGATTACTTAAACATAAAATGAAATATATTTCGCTAGTAATCTAAATCTGTTATAATTCAATATAGTATTGTAGTATCGTAGTATAGCAACAGCAGTCTAGAGCCAACATTTTTAATAGAATTGCAGCTGCATCTTATATTCTGTTTCATAAAGCCCTACTTGTAATTGTCCAGAAATTCGGAGGGGGATACGACCCCCCTCCTTTCCTATCCCTGTGGAGCACTCGAAACTGGCCAACCAGAGTCTGTCACATTCCTGCCTTATAGCCGCCAATAATTTTTATGCCTTATTTTAATATTACCATATTCATGGAGTGGTATGATAGTTCAGTGGTTTGAACTGCTCTGTGTCGGTTAGCCATGTTATCCCTATGCCTTACTTTTTATGCTTTGATATACTATGAAGTTTTTATGCTTTATTATACTATGTCCTTTTTTCACTTTTTTTGCCTTACTATACTATGTCATTTTTATGACATTTTTATGCCTTGCTATCCTATGTCATTTTGCCTTACTATATTAAGGTGTTTATACTTTACTATACAAAAACATTTTTATGCATTATTATGACATGCATTTTTATGGCTTACTATACTAAGTCATTTGCTTAACAAATACATTTTTATTGCCATGTACAGACAAAAAGTGAGAGATGTGAGAGTCTTTTGCAATTAGATCCCATTGTGATGTCATCATATGTGATAAGGGGGTGAGGCTGTGCCAAGTATAGGATCTAGACACTGGTGGTGGTCTTGAACATAGGAAGAGGTGAAGCTGGAGATCTGGATGTGTTGAGATTGATCATGAGCTTTCCTGACTGGATATTAAGACTGGAGGTGAATGAACTGGAGAGGGTCACAGTAATTTCCGTGGATATGATGACTGGAATTTGATGGTGTAGAGGAGGGTCGCAGGGACCACACTGAAATGACAGCTGATAACAGGACAGAGGAGAACAGATTTAAAAGTATGACAGGGACAACTTGATTGGCTGGTTGAGATTGTGGCGAGATCTGATTGGTTGCCGAGCACCTGAAGTAAGCTTATTACAAGGAGTGGGGTGAGAGAGGGAGAATAGAGATAGTCTTCCCTACTGAACTTAAGCTCACCTTCATGTCATTTTTATGCCTTATTATACAATGACAGTTTTATGCCTCACTATACTAAGGTGTTTTATTTGTCATAAAAATGTTGAAAAACATCATAGTATAGTATGTCATGTAAATGCCAAAAAATGTTATAGCAATGTATTGCATAATAATGTCATAGTATAGTAAGGTATAGAAATGTCAAAAAACGTCACAGTTATAGTATGGCATAATAATGTCACAGTTTAGTAAAGCATAAAAAGTCATCAAAACGCCATGGTATAGTAAGGCACAAAAATGTGAAAAAAACACATAGTAAGGTATAAAAATATATTTAAAAAACGACATAGTATAGTATGACATAAAAATGTCATAAAACATCATAGTATAATAAGCCACAATTAGTATATTGTGGCATTTTTTAATGATATGTATACTATGGCTTCATACGGACCTTGCACAGGGTCATAATCAGTGGGAGAGTCTGCGAGGATGACCCAATTGTACGCAGCGCTGCGCAAATGACACAACGTTTTGACGTCAGCGAACTTCACCACCGTCAGTCTCCGTTTTCCCACAATCCACAGCGGTTCCTCCACATTTGGATCTTGTTCTCTGAGTGTCAAACCCAAGGTGAGTGTTGAGTTTTTAAAGAAATGTGTTTATAATTTCACCCTATCTGTCATTATTATGTATACTTATAAACACATGCTCTTTTCTCCAGCGAGTGTAACGTTAGCAGGAGACAGTGAAGGGCGACAATCGACAGAGGATAGTGTTTGAACGCTGTGTCGCGTCAGCTAAAGCTAGCTAAGCTGACTTTAGCAGTCGTTTGATTGGGTGTATGTCGCAAACATGTTGCTAATTAGCAGTAGCAACCAGAGTGAAACCGACCTTATTTAAAGTCTTTGTCGTATTAGTCAATTAAGGCGACAATTACATTGAAGTCATTTTAAGATTAAAATAGCTAACTCAATGTCAATTAGTTACGGTCGACGGTAGCTAACGTATGCTAGTTAAAATGTAGCAAGTGGTAACGTTTATTTGCTCCAGCTGGGCAGCGGCACCTCCATATACGAGAGGTTGTACGTTCAGTAGGTGACAGAGCTACAGACATTTGAACGCTTAAGCATTTAAGGCTTAATGCAGGTTGTAGTTTACACCCGCTGCACATCATATTATTAGTCATTACCCCCTAATGCAACAAAGTTGATCCTTGGCCGTTACAGAGGCAGGACAACAACTTCATGTTCTCAGAGCAGCCTATAACCTGAGGCCTCTTTTCTCCTTCAGATGGCACTTCACCGGTTATTCCAGCTGTCCTCTGTACTGCGCTCCGCCGTGAGCCTGACCCTCCGCAGGAACATCGGTATCTCCGCTGTCCTCTTCAACCGGGCCAAGGAGCTCGACCCCGTCCAGAAACTTTTCCTGGACAAGATCCGTGACTACAACACCAAGAGCAAGTCAGTTCATAATACTCAACTCCTGTCATGAACCTCCCATACCTAATTTAGAAGTGGTGTTTAGATTTCCATGGCTGATCAGAGTCGAGATTTAAAAGATTATCAAAAAAGGCTTCCAGCTCAGAGTTCAGTCACTAGTGAAATATTTACTTCGAAAATAGAGAAGCTGATTTTTTAGCTTCTTTAGTGCAGATTCAGACCTCAATCAATCCTCTCCATTTAAATTGTATCTAAATATATCCTCCACTCATCGCCTTCCCGCTCACCTCTCGACCATTATTTGATGCCTTGGCTCTCCCAGGACTTCTGGTGGCATTGTGGATGCAGGACCTGCTTACCAGAAGAACCTGTCTGAAGAGGTAACCAAACTGCAGAGGCTATATGGTGGAGGAGACCTCACCAAGTTCCCAGACTTCAAATTCACAGGTTAGTTAAAACTTAAGTAGCTTTACAGTGTGTGCTGTGAGTGCTGTTTTGTAGCCTGCCCTAATTGCTTCCTGCTATTATTAACTAAAAAGACTAACAAACGCATAAATCAAAATCACAGCTTAATTTGTTAATTTTCCTTGTCATTGCTTAAAAAAGATTAACAGATTAGCTAGTTAATGTTGTTGTAGTTAATGCCATTTTATGGAAAGAACCAAGGTTTTAACAGTGACCTTGGCTCCCTGATACTGAAGAGCTTTGAAGGACAAAGAAAGTGTATTTCGTAATAGCTTTAGTCCAAGCTTCTTAACTGTCAAAAACAAGACAGTTTGCATTCAAGACTGTCCATGAACAAAAGTCATTCAATTTGATCAGCTGCATTGTTGAAATGACAATTAGAAGTGCCTGTAATGGCAGGGCTGTTTTTAATGACACAATTTAAATGGATATTTTGCTTTTACATGATTTAACAGCCCCCTCATAAATATTTACTTCTTTGCCACTGGAGAGAATGAGATGCACTGTGATTTTGAGCTTTCTGTGTCTATATTTAGTGCATGGACAGTGACGCTTGTCAAAGCAAGATGAGTCTCTTAGCAGCTTTCATCTTGAGCTTCGCAGTATTGTTGTTGAAACTTCAATTAGCTAGTTGTTTTACATTGCTGTAGTTCTTGTCTTTGTATGGAATCTAATCTCAAGTATTGTCACATGTACAGCTGCAATATGTCTCACTTCAAAACTCACAGGGAATTACATGCAGCAACTATCACTAATGGTTCTTTGTTTTCTGTTTTTTTTTTTTCTCCAGAGCCCAAGTTCGATGAAGGCGCCAAGTGAATGCTGTCCATGTTGTATATCTCCTACATGTCACCAATACGTTGTATTTAATAAAAAGATAGTGGAATGAACTGTGGTGCACTGCCCATCAATGAGACTGATTCTGCAGCACCTGAACATTTGTTATAATTTAGTGATGCTACAACAATAACTGTATCCAAATACATTATAAAAATATTTTTAATGGTCAGTCATTAAAATATTTCTCACATTATACACGTGTAATCATGGTCATTTGACTTGTCCCATATCTGAATAATCCTGTAAAAATATTTTCAGATATGAGATATAGAATATCAGATTGAATACGCTTAATTTGCATATTAAGTGGTTGTAATTTCGATTAAAATATCTGAAATTCCCTGATAAATAACTGAGTCACATGTCGGCTGACTGAGATGGGAAGTGGCTGTAACTCTGAGTTGGACTTGAGAGGTCTGTAGTACGACGAGGTCAGAGATGACTTTAAGCCTTTCCAAGATGAATATTTGAAACCCAAAATAGCATCAAAGGGTAAATTTCCATCTGACCTGATGCCTAAAGTTTTAGATTGTGCAGCTGAGCTTTAATGTTAAACTCAAAAATGTACCAAGATTTTAGCTCACTGTGCAGGTATGCAACACTGCCCCCAGAGTATAGATCCTCGCTCTTATGCACCAAACTAAAGCTGTCTGTCAACCTGTTTCTGATGCTACATGCCTGCCTCAAGAAATGCACTTGAAAGATTTATGTACTGTCTGGCTTGCAGAGCCACAACGCTTCAGTATTTCCCTCTGTGGGAATACTGAAGTGGCTTTCAGCATGCGTGACAACATGCAGATGAAAAAGATTGTTTCAGGAATAAGGTAATAACAAACAAGCAAGTCACAAAAACAACCAATTAACCAGATCTAGTTTGATTAATCAGTTCTCCACCTAATTAGATTGACATTATCATCAGGGATCGTAATGATAGTTATTTTGATAGTGCTGTAATTGCAGTGGTGGAACATTCAGCTCTCTTACATGAGTACTATTAGTAATACCACAGTGTAAAAGTATCAGAATCAAAATATAAAATACCAAAAGCACAAAAGTATTAATTTTGCAGAATGGCCTATTTCAGACTGTGTATATTATTGGATTGTAATTATTGATTTATTATTTGAACATTAATGTTGCAGCTGTTAAAGGTTGGACTAATTTTTTATACTTCTGGGTAGCTTGTAGATTTCACCCCAGAGATCTATGAAATATATTATTTGTGGATAATTATTTCTATTATTTGAATTTTTTTTTTTTTTTTAATTCTTTATTTAGGAGTGGCAGTCTATTATTTGCATTTTAAAGGAACTAGTAACTAAAGTTATCATCTCTGTTAATGTAGTAGAATAGAAACTTGTACTTGTACTTAAGTGCCATAATAGCAGTATGATTTTGAATAGAAAAAACTTTATTACTGATACACCATTCAAATAAAACTCTGAACAATCCATTCACACACTGTCTAAAATCAGACACTCCATTTTTGATAAACATTGATAAACAGTGGCACAAAAATATAAAGACAGAAAAAAGTAAGGCAAGTTCTTTACAAAAAACTGTGATCCATAGATAAATGACAGACAAATTAAAAAGGCACAAGGTATATATATTTATATTTATATATAAAAAGACCATGCAGGCACATTAGGATGGAATGGGGTTGGTCTCAATAGAATTGGTAGGAGTGGCTTCCTGTTCTCCTGGACTGGCTTTGTCTGGTTTTGTGTTTACTAAAATCATGAGGATCTTTTGTGGCACTGTGGCCCTTGGGAAGCTGGGGCCCCAGTGTCACAGAAGACAAAGTGTGGGCTGAGGTAAACTGCATTTATGTTTGAATAGATTGAAATGCCCTCCCTATTGCTTTAAAGAGAAATCCCTTGTGATGATTAAAATTTTTATTTTAAATCCCTTAAATTAAATGATCAGTCTTTGGTAAAAGAAAATGGAGTTAAACAATTGGCCTGCAGAGGGAATCAAAGTGTGTGTAAGTCTCCACTAGTCCCTGGGTGATTCAGAAAAGAAACTGGAGTTTCAACATCTGACCACCAGGGGGGAGCAGAGCGCCATGAAACTGTACTTAATCCCATAAGAGCAGAAAACGTCAATGACAGATGCGAACCACACAGCAAAGCAAGAGAGTAAGAAGCCTTGCGAATTTGCTTGTCATAACCCATTCAAAAGGAGTGGTAGAGGAAGAAGATTGAAATTAGCATGTAGCGTAAGATCAAGAGCTCATTCAGAGTCCAGAGAGGAAAAATAAATTCAGAGAATCCAGTGTTGGCACCATATCACAAGGGTGGTGATGTACTCTCAAAGAAAGGCCAGCTTCTCAGAGCATGAATGATTGGGTGTGTTTAAAATCCTGGGGCTGTGGGACACAGAAAAAGAGGTATTAGTGTGTAACTATTTTCTTGCTCTTGTTTCAGAGTTATGGCCCTGAGGTGACTGTGATGTGATTTCAATCAAAAACACAGCAACATTCATTAGGTAAGTGTGAAATGCTGGTGCTTAAGTCAGCGTTTCTCCCCTGTCACTGCTCAGTACCCAATGTAGAAATGTAGGGAGGAAGAGAACAAAGAAAAAAAAAACACTTACTTCTTGGGGCGGAGGGATATAGTTGACATTGGACCTGAAAGACAAAGGCATGGTAAGTGCATCAGACAGTTTGACACAGTCACAAAGAAGAGAAGAAACTCGAGGCAGACAGCTGTATCCTGAGTCATATCTTGCCCTGCATAAATAATGCACATCATACATGGCAAACCTCCCATTGGGTAAAAAGGAAAGTCAGACAGAGCAGGACAGTATGAAGCAGGAGAGAGCAGCGTTAGTCAAACAGTCATCTTTCCTATTCTGGACACAAATGTACTTCAGATTTGTCAGTGTTTACAGTAACTGGTCCTTTGCTGGTCTGTATATACAAGCTGAAATAATTTCACTCTTGTAATCAATTGAAACCCAATTTGTGAGATTGAACCACTATTGCATACTTAAAGACATCTTGATAAATACACTTGGCCTACTGTCCTGTCAGGCAAAAAGTGTAGACTCCAGGAAGTCACTGCACAGCTTCAAGAAATATTTAAAAACACATAACTCCCCATAAAACTGTAATTTGTCAACTTTCACTTCAGTTTTTTAATAGATTAAACAGATAAAATATAATGTGCTAATTAGTTAACTTTAGAGGTGTTTTACATTCAGATAGAGCCAGGCTAGCTGTTTCCCCCTGTTTCCAGTATTTATGCTAAGCTAAGGTAAGCGTCCTCTGGCTGCAGCAGACAGATTTAGGAGTCATATCAATCTTCTCATCTCACTACTCGCCTCACTCTCAGCAAGCAAGTTATTAGGCTTATTTTCAACATGACAAACTCAATGTTGAAATATAAATAGCAGCAAATGCCATAAATTCAGTGCTATTTAAATGTTGAAGATAAGCCTATTCACATGCCTGCTGAGAGTGAGATGAGAAGATTGATACCAATCCTAAATCTGTCTACTAAATATGAAGCTACAGCCAGGAAATGGTTAGCTTAGCATGAAGACTGGCACTGGTGTGTAACCTGCCTCTGTGTATGGGTAAAAAAAAATCTGCTTACCAGCACCTCTAATGCTTTTTCATTAGCACATCATATCTTGTTTGTTTAATCTGTTCAAAAACTAAAGTGAAAGTTGACAAATTACAGTTTTATGGGGGGTTATGTGTTGAATAATTTCTTGATGGGGACTGTTATTTGCTCTCATCTGTCTGTTGACTTGTCTATGCATCACACTCACGTGTCCTCTGTTCTGTGCAGGGTTTGGCTGCTGATGTGGGCTGCACCATGACACTGGGAGATCCAAAAGGACCTGTAGGGGCCAGCGTGTTGGCTTTAAAAAGGGTCAACAAGAGGGTGTCACTTCAGACTCACACTGCACACCATGCTTTCATGAAATGGGGGGCGGTCATTCATATGGAATATTAAAATATTCATAAAGGTGTGCTTGAACATTTAGATATGCTGCTGTAATCCTTGATCTATACACTTTGTACATGTACTCTGTGTTTTGAAGGTTTGTATATTCAGGTCATTGCTTGCAGGTTTATGAATACTTTGCAAGTCTGTGCATTCAGATCCATGAAGATTCAAGCTTTATTTTACAAGCTGCAAGAAGAAAAATAATGCACAAGCATGTGTCTGTGCATGTGTTGCTAAAGGTTAGCCACAAGGGAGAGAGGGCGGGATCTTCAGCTTCCCTCTGTGACTTTGGAAATGCTACAAACAACACAGTTGGCTAGACAACACTGTCAGTCACCTACCGGTCAGTTCACACTCAGTAGGGCTCCCAGGTTTGCATCACGTGAGCTGGGAGCCTTCCTGTGTGCAAACTGACCGGTAGGTGACTGACAGTGTTGTCTAGCCAACTGTGTTGTTTGTAGCATTTCCAAAGTCACAGAGGGAAGCTGAAGATCCCGCCCTCTCTCTCTCCTGGACACATGCGTGTGCATGATTTTTCTTCTCGCAGCTCGTGTAATTAAGTTTGAACACATGGATCTGAATGGACAAACTTGTGAAGCACATTTCACAGACAGAAACCTGCAACCAATGACTTGAATGTACAAACCAAATGCAAAGTGGGTTTACAGAACTAAGATTACAGTGACAAAGCTATTTGTTTCAAGCACACCTTCATGAATGATCTAATATTTCATAATTTAGCGGCAATGCTGTAAAGACATGCAGCCAATCATAAAGCTGCAGAGCTCAACAAAATGCTAGGGTGAGCAGGTCAAGTGGTGAGCCAACACATGCAGCAATCCAACACCCAAATATTAAAAATCTAAGCCCTGTGTAACAGATTTTTTCTGCAGCTGTGAGTGTATCCTCTAGCTAAACATTTAACAAAGCTTCAGTTTAGGCCCCTTAAAGATCTCTACAATTGATTAAAGCAATATATTTATAGAAGAAAATAAAATTTGTATTATAAAAAAAACTTGTCAGTGTGTTCTTTGAAATATAAATCATTAACAACTATAATGAAAACAAATGTACGTTCTCCAAACATGTCTTTAAAACACTGAGCAGAGGAAGCTATGTCTAGGTAATGTAACCATCAGAGCTACATGTATTGTTTGCAAGTCTTATTTGAGTTTTTAGGGCATCAAAACCTGGCGACTACTACAACAGTTTAGCATGATATAACATTAATTTGTGTCCCTCTGTCCTCTAGACCGTTTCTCTCTAAAAGGCAGAGCTGCATCCTAGATCTGCATTCCCACTCTGTTAACTTGTGCCTACTATTGGTGCATCAGAAATCATGTCACATTGTCTTTGAGTCTTTGTGAAGAAGCCTGCTCTATAAATAGGAAGTTGACACTGACAGCTCCAGTTAGCTCAGTGGGATAAGCATCAGACTTTAACCTAGACAAAGAGCTTTCGCATCAGCTTCAAGGAGAGCTCCACGCTGACTCTCCATCAAAGGCTGCGCAGTAACAAGCCAGTAATCAAATAACATAAAGTCAAGTGAGTTAGGCCAGTCACATGGGGACATGCATTTATGTCTCTGTGGTTTCTGGCTCAACAGCCAGTCAAGCATCAAAACGTCCTGACGCCCACTCTGGTGTGTTTGCAGGACAGGGACTATTGGTGTGTGTGTAAATGTACTGCACCAACAGCCCTGTGTTACGCCACCATCTCATCCTCCAATCTCCTCAATATCTAAATAATCCATTTCAAATTAACCACCCAATCAGTTTAATTGCCTGCAATTCAATCTGCTGCCAATATTTTCCTCCGTGCTGATTAACAGCCAGTAATTATTCCATAATTATGTTGCACCGATTATTTCTCCTCCTTTAATTGTCAGCATCTTTTTTTGATCATCTGTCTGCGCTACATTTTGACATGATTTCAACAGAGGTAGATCTGCCCGAAAGTGGCGATTTAAAAAAAAAAAAAAAAAAAAAAACCAACCCTTTCCCCATGGTTTTTACATCTGTTGGCGCCAATCACTGGATGAGTAAAAACACAGGCACTGCTGTGGCTCAAAAACACACACATTTAGACACACACACAGCCACAGCTGTCACTCCATACAGTCCTGAGTCAGCACGCAGACACGCAGTCTTAACAACAACGACCCACCCACCCACTCTCCTCAATCCTCAGTGTGTAGAGTATTAGACTGTTTGTTCACATCAATGTTAATGTAATCACAGAGCTCTTACCTTCCTCTGTGTCCTGCTGATGGATGAGTCAGGAGCACCGTGCAAAAAAAAGAGTGAAAGTCAGTTTTTTTGAAGAGAATAAAAACAATATCTCCATTAACTGATGCACTGTTCATGCAAGAAGACAAAGTGGTTATTAGAGTTAAAAAAAAAAAAAAACACGGCAAGCAAATGAACGAAAGTGGAACTTACGGCTGAAGAAGCCATTGCGATGCAAGAGGAGTCCTCCACAGCCGCAGACCACGATGACCAGGCAGACCACCACCACCGTTGCCACGACGGCTGTGATGTTGACATCCTCTGGAAGTGGGAGGGAGAATGAAAGACAGAGTTATGATCCATTTCCAATATGAAGTGGTTAATATTTAATAAATACTCCAAACAGCGGTAACTGTAAGACCTGCAAACATCAACATAAAAAGCAAAGCCATATTTAATGTAACTCAGTCTAAAGCCTTTTCCTGTACTCCTGGAATATTTCCTTTAATTTATTAAGTGCATAAAATGGTTGCTCGCATTAACCTAGAGCACATTATAGAATTTATTAGCAAGCTGACGACCGTTCCATACATAACAGGCTCATTTTAAACCACGTAATTTGTCCTTGAATGTCACACTTTAAATAGTTTGTGATGGTGTTTCAGATTTCCTCTCCACTGCATCTCTGATTTTCTCCAGTGCTGAAGGGTGTGGGGGAAGAGGCCAGAAGAAGTGTGGAGAAAAATAAAACACACTCACCTATTGCCATGTGCTTGCCCTCACACATCTTGGCCGGCCCCACCCTGTTGGATGCCTGGCAGCTGTACCGGCCAGTGTCCTCTTTGGCTACAGATTTGAACTCCTACAAGAGAGACAGAGGGTGGAGGAAAACTTTTATACCTGTTTTTAGAAAGAGCGTCTTTAAATGGCCTGAGTTAAAGCATTTATTCTGCTAAAGTGTCCTTGAGCGATCCTCAGAAACGCTACCTACTGTCAAACCAGAAGAAGAAGCACTTTACACAAAACTCAACAGAAGCATCTCTGTGTTTGCTTCTTTAAATAACACGTTACTGCAGGGAGACACACGCCAACCTTCCTTGTTGTCCTTATTCACTCACACACACACACACACACACACACACACACACACACACACCAGTATTCCTGTTTGCATGTCGATTAAATAGGTGGCGTTGGCCTGGCGGGGCACGCTGATTGGCTGGTTGTTCTTGAACCAGGAGTATGTAGCAGGCGGGATGCTCTGTTGGTCTCTACAGCGCAGCTGCACCACTGAGCCCGTCACTGCTGAACTGGGGATCTCACAGGACGGGGTGTGGGGGGGCACTGGAGGAAAGGACAAAGTAAGAAATTAGAGAAACAAAAAGAAAAACCTCAAGCATCTCAGCCATTTCTGCACCAGAGGTTTTCAGTCATACCCAGGACTATCAGTGTCACGTTGGTCTCGCCCAGGCTGACAGAGTCAAGAGGAGCACTGATCTCACAACGGTACTCCCCGGCATCCTCCTGAGTCACCCTGTTCAGTGTCACTGTGGCCCCTTCAATGGTCGCCCGACCTTCAAAAGGTCCTGAAGCGAAAGAGCAGAAAGTCAGGAAGAGGAGGAAATGTCCTCTCTGGCTGTGGAAGCTGCTGCAGTGCATGTGCAGTTGGCATGTTTTCATCTATAATTTACCTTTCTGCCATTTAAGAATAGTATCGCAATAAAGACTTTATCATACAATATTAAGATACATCTGTCTTATAGCTCTATCCATTCTGATGCCTGCATTTGTACTGATATATCATCTGATATTAATTACACCTCAGCAATATAAATTAAATAAAAATGTATAATTCATGTAAAAAAATGTTTTTGAGAGAATTTGGAAGAGAAAAATATTTAATGCTATGAAAACTGAACAGCTGCTTCACAGCAAAAACCTCTTAGCAAAGCAAGCAGGGGTCTTTTACTGTGAAGCAGCAACAGGAAGTGCAAAGTGATCGTTAATGGAAAGTTATTTAGAATTTGTTCTGATCTGCTTATTAACCTCTCACACTTCAACTTTTCAGGCACTCAGACACAGCCTTGTTTCCAGGTCCCGTCCCCTCCAATGGTCCTAAAACTAACTGGGACTGGGACGCTGCAGGGAACATTCACAGCATGTATCAGCGAGCATGTTGCCCTGGAGCGCCCTGACTGGTGAATCTAGCCAAGAGAAAGTTTCGTGGGACGTGACTTTTCATGAATTTACTTGTTGCCAGCAGCTCTGCCTAAGAAATTGCCTCACATTGTGAAAGCGCTGCCTCTTTATTTACGTCACTTTTTACACTAACTTCAGATGTGAAGTGGAGCTGCCAGTGAAGCGGAGGTGATGGTGATTTCAAAGCCTTGACATATTTCAGAAAACTTGTCAGGGTAACTATGCTGTCTATAAAAGATGATTCATTATTTATTTGTGCCGTTAAATCCACATCCTTAACCACAAAATGTGAAGGATCAAGGATAAAAGACAAGTTAAGATTTTATACCTTGACACCACTGACAAAGACTGAGCTAAAACATCTCTTACATTAGAGCCATCATTCCAGTCTTATCTAAAGTATCAGAGTGGTGTTTTCTCTCATCCTATGTGGCAAACCCCTCTCCAGCTGGCACTGCAAGCTGATTAAAACAAATGCCCTGTTTGTCACCAAGGGGATAAGGAGAGGCAGACTGCTTTCTCACCTCTGAAGTGTCCATCATAGTACATAAAGGAAACATCTTTCCCCTTCTTCTTCCACTCGATGCGTGGGTTCTGGTCCCTCTCCGTGCGGAACATGCAGGACAGCACCGCATCTGAAATAGGAACGTGTGACCGGTGAGATATTTATGGCAACAACAGCGAAAAAACCTTGGTCATTTTTTTTAACTACTTGGGTCTATTTATAGCGTCATGGTTTATTCTGTCAGAGAGAATCTGAGAGAGTGAGAGGAGGCGGCCCAGAGATGAGCTGCTTCTTTCTGCCTCACCTGAGAACTCGCGCGCCTCCACCTTGTAGCTGGTGGTCGACACGGTAACAGGAACAGAGGGGGAACCTGGTGGTGGTGGAGAAGGAGAGGGGAGAGAGAGGGGGAGATTTTTAAAAAAATAAAAAAAACAGTGGGGTGAAAGCAGTTCAGAACGCAATATCGCTCGTCATCCATTAGGGGGCAAGGTGAATTGGGTGAAGTGCTCCACATTGCCCGCCAACTGCAAGAGGAGAATACTTAATGGCTGTCTTTGGTCTGTCTGTCCGACTGTCTGAGCCGAATACACGAGTCTGAGGCAGACTGAGGCTTTCTCCAGGAGATCCGAGGTAAAGGCGGGATTACTGCCTCCTTGGCTTTAATCCTGTGGGGTTAAGGAGCAGCCCGCCGTATGTTTATGAAGGCACAGGTTAGGACAAGGTCACCAAGCATCTCACCAGCAGCTTGTCCAGATTAACCTGATGTATGAGGGGCATTGACAAGAAGCCGGCGGCACACTATCCCGTGTTTGTTTCCCCCACTGCCTGTGTGTCACTGATACACGCATCCAAACAGGAAGGGGAAACAGGAGCGCCCTTTCCTGTGTGCTGATTGGTTTAGGGGATGGATTATTGTCTGGTCGTCCTGTTGTTAAACGCAGGTGGAATAGGGGTGAAGGTTACCTGAGGGAGAAACGGGTGAGAAATATGCACATGGCAAGAACATTAAACACTCTCAGGATGAAAGCCTAACTTCTCCCTAAGGTCTGCAAATTAAGAAAAAGGGGAACATTTTTGAAATGGGATAATAAATGTTGAATGGGCCTCAGGGATTCTTCCTCAGAACATTAAGGGCAAAGAAAAACTTCCAGCAAACTTCTAATTTGGTGAAATGAAGGCGTCACCTTCACATATTCTTGAAAGAAAAAGGCTGAGTAACTTCACTTCCTCCTGCGCACACACACTGACTCACATGCATTGCTTTAAATGGTTTCGAAATACAGATTAAAATCTATCAATCCCAAACCTAAAAACACATACACTGGAATTAGTCAGCCCGGCCATTTCCTGTTTGTCAGTGGCATCCGGTGTCAGCCCATTGTCTCTGTATTACTATGAGTTACAGAAGATTTCCCCTGTGAAGCGAGTGGGGGTCGTGGAAGAATGAACGGCAAGCTGAGACAAAGGACAGGAAGTGTTAGAAAGAACAGGAAGGCGGCCATTGTGGATGGCCATACAAACTGGAGTTTATAAGCAGACCCAAAAGGTCTCTATTGCTCTTATTTCCTTCGATGGCAGCTATTTTTAATTTGGCTTTTAAATAAACAAAAGCCTATACAATAATAATGTCATCTGCCAAATGCAGCATAACGCACACTCAAGTTTTTTAAAAGCTTTTCTTGAAGTTGGCTCAATTTACACCAGCTTCACCCGGTCAAACTTTGAGCTAAGTGAATTAAAACTGCACGCTCTCCCTCCAGACGCTCTCTCTTCCCCTCGCTTTGCCATGTGTCGACTTGCGGCACTGTAACAGGATTATCATCGTTGCCTTGGCTTGTGTACCTCGACACCCTCTGAGGAGCATTGTCTCACCGAAGGATGAACAAGACGAGGGAGGGAGATACAATGAGATTAAAAAGAGACGAGAATAAACGACAAAGGAGAGATGAGCAGCCCTAAGAATAGAATACAAATGAAATGGAGTGGAGGAGAGCGGGGCGGAGAGGGGGACTGGGTGGAGGTTGGTGGAGGGCGGATGAGAGACCCGCAGAAGCATGAATAAAAGAGAGAGTGGGATTGAAGGCGAGGGAAATCCTCTCAGACAGTGGGACTGTGAATGGAAGAAGCTCTTGTCACATAGTGTGAGACCAGGCCTGGCGCCACCTTGAAGGGTGTCTCTCTGAGAAACAGGAAATGTAGCAGGGGTGACAACATGCCTGCACTTCACCAGCGCACTGACTGACACACGCACACACGTAAAAGCACACATCAAAAAAAAAAAAGAAAAAAAAAAAAAAAGAAAAAAAAAAAAAAAGAAAAGAGCAAAGAGTCTCTGTGTGCAAGTACCCGCTGCCACTGTGTGTTCTACTACTATGAACACTGTCAGCTTCAATGGCCTCAATTAACTACAGAGGCGTCGAGGCAGACAATGAACACATGGCCTGTTCAGATCATTTCACAACTGCATGGTGGGTAATGTTCACATGGTGTAAAGCTTTATAAAAAAAAAAAAAAAGCCTGCTGTCCAAGAAGTGGACAGAGACAAATATCTGCTCGCATGCAAGAGCTGCACCACGAGCACTGGATGTCACTTCGGTGTTGTGTCCCTGTTGATGCTCAGATGTAGCTCAGTTATCCTGGCTGCAGTAAATACACACCTGAATGTCTCACAGGTCTGCACAGAGAAGGGTGTTGCGGGTAGATGTAGGAGCTGAGAAATCTTAACAACGAGCTGTGTTGACCTGAGCGTCAATGTTGAGAGGCTGTGTGCTGAATAGAAGAAAACAGCCACAACTGACACCTGTGCAGCCTGACGCACCGTGTTCCAGCCTTGAGATGTGGATGTCACTAATCTTAGGCCTCATTTTAGCAAAAGTGCTAGATTTGCGGATAGAGAGCTATATTAGATAGCGTCACCCTGTAGCTAAGCTGACTCGGGCCGATTACCAGTCCATGTTGGCTGTGAGGACTGATTATGAGCCGTATCTGGCCCGCATTTGGCTGCCAGACTTGGTTTACGTGCCAGTAGTCCGGACTGATTAGGGCTGAGCTCAGCTCCAGTTAGCAGCACCCAGGCCAGAGGTGGGCCAGTGTTGGCACTTTAAATTATCCCAAGATTCAGGAGTGGGTCCAGCAAACAGGCATGCTGGACTGGTGGCCTAATCAAGTCGTATAACGTCAGTTTAACTATATTTAACACATCAGACACAAACTGAAATAGATCTTAGAAAATTGCTTTAATGAATTTAGTAAGTTTTTCATGTGCTTAGTAGAAGCAAGTCTCTGGTGGGATCAAATATGGCCACCATGGCGATTAAAACACTTCTGATAGGGGCTTGTTGTGCCTCTGACAGACAGAAACATGTAGACAAAGGCGTCAAAACAGACAAGCACACGCACACGCACACACACACACACACACACACACACACACACACACACACACACACACACACACACACACACACACACACACACACACACACACACACACACACACACGTCGTGAGACATGAGTGGCATTAACATCAACCAAACACTGCGACAGCTTAAAAACTCACACAGGGGCAGCCACCCCCTTGCATGAGCAAAAATAGAAAGATGGCACGCTCACTCCTTGGCACGCAGCTTTACTCTCATTACGTGGTCCGTACAGAGTGTTACAGAGAGGGTGGGTGTTGCCAGGACTGTGCCGAGGTCAAAGGCATGGCGCAGTAATAATTAAGGCACTTATTCAAATTAACAGAGAACAAATGAAAGGAGAGGGGAGATGGACCCATAGGAAATGTCCTGTCTGCCTGTGTGATACAGATAAGGTGACTGTGGGCGGCACACACGTTTCAAGGCTGTGGGGGTACAGAGCAAAACAGGGCGAGGACAGTGTGTGTGTGTGCGTGTGTGTGTTCTCTGTTTGAACAAAGCCTCTCTGTATGACTGTAACCCTGTGAGCAACAGCTGTCTCAGTCAGGCACGGTGTGTGTGTGTGTGTGTGTGTGTGTGTGTGTGTGTGTGTGTATGTGAGAGAGATTGAGATGGGGGATGTTGGATCTCTTGCCACAGAGACCCACCCAAAGCCTTTCCTCCTGGACGTTTCCTTAAACAATACAGCCCACAATCTGCAGCAGAGGACATCTGATGCTGCTCTGTTCAACAGTTGACATCTATCACTGAGCTGGATGATGAGTGATTTCTGTCAGTGTCCACAGCGGGACTTGACACAGACACACACACACACACACCTCTGCGAACTCATGACCTGGTGGCCTGACAGGTGGCAAAACGTGTACAACACAGAGTAAAATGTGCGTCACTCACTCTCACTGTCTAATCACATCCATCCCACACTGTTACTGCTCCCCTGGTGTCCTAAGACCGCTCACACTGCTCTCTCTTTTCCTGCACGTCACACAGGTTTCCATACAGGAGGGTCAGGGAAAGTCTAAAGACAGATTTTTATTTTTTACTGTTTTGTTTACAACCCTTCAGTCTCCTGCAATGAAAACACCTTGTCACATAGAAAAAAAACAGCTTGATGTATCTGGTGGTAATCCAACCGCTGACCTCATGCAAGGATCCACAACCTTTTCTGCCAAAAACCTGGGCCCACCCGCCACCACCATGCCGCCTACACCTTTAGGTGGCACCCTGCCAAGCACAACTTTTGAGCCAACTTGTAGGAATTCAGCCTAACTGCATCAGCAGCCCACTCCCACAGACTGTAATGAAACCATGGAATAAAACTCAACAACAAAATAAGACTACAAAAAAGATTCCTTTAGCTTCTAAAATGAACTTAAAGATTTTATAATTTTCTGAAACAACAGTGAGGAAACATCTAACTAAACCCTTAAGAAAATGTAACTTCACAAAACTACTTTTTGGAAAAAAATAAATGTCTCTCCACTTTGAAAGGATTCACCACTTGTTTAAAAAATGAAAGATGAAATCACTCTAAATAAAAAAAGTTCAAGATCGGTTAAAATACATTCAAGCTTAATCATCCATTTCCTGAGTTTTATCTGGCGAGGAGAGAGAGAGAGGAACCAAGAACAAACAGCAACTGTTGGTTCGTCTGGATGAATAGTTTCCATTTGCCACTTACATTGCATCAGTAAAATAACAATAGGAAGATACAGGGACGTCCCCTCCATTATCGTCCACAACTCTGGCTGAGTCTTCCCTGGACGGAGCGAGGAGGCAGATCCCGAGCCTCAGCTTTCTTCTCGCACTTGTTCACAACTCTCCAATAATTCATCCAGCTTCCAGGGAGTGAACTGCTCTCCGGGGCAAAGCGACCGGACTGCCCCGGCGCGGAGCGGAGCGGCACGGCACGGCACGGAGCAGCTGGCAGGCGAGCTGATGAGCGGGACGCACAGCCGGGACTGATAAAGGCTGGAGACACCGGTGTCCTGGACTGATGAGTCTGGCTGGGGACGGCGTGCCTCGGTTACTCTCAGAGACGCGAATGAATGTCCTCTCTCCTCCCGTTGTGCGGCTTCGGCTCTGGCTGAGGTTGGAGATGGAGGTGGAGGGAGGGCGGGGTGTGCTTTCAGACGAGCAGAGCGGCGGAGCGCCGAGAGCGCAGCGCCGTGTCCAAGACGCGCACTGCACTGCCAAATGGCCACATAACGGGAGTCAACTGGGTATGGCAACAAGGTGTGGCAGCCATCATACCTCAGCCGGAGTGGGACCTGGTTTGACCCCAAAGCTTTTTTTTTTTTTCTCCAATATTATTGGAGGGCATAGATTGAGGCCAAATATCGTTTTAAGCGACATCTGGAGCTTTAAATCCAGATTTCCCTCCAAAGTGACGCCTGCTGACCCGTTTCTAATCATTTCACAACTGCTGTACAAGTCAACAAGGCAACATGAAACAATATTCATCTTTCCTCATGTCCTCTGGGGGATGAGAATCCAAGTAACAGTTACATCCTGATGAGGCACCTTTTACAGCCTATTGTACCTGCTGTTAAAAATGGCTTCATTAAAGGATGGAAAATCATTTATTAATACTTTACAGATTAATTAATAACATCAACGTTTGGGCTGCCAGGTTGTGAAAATACCCCTCTAATCCTTACCCTTCTGGTAAAGGCTCTCAGACATTTATATTACATCTCTATTACCTAAATGAAAAAGATAAACACCACACAAAACCTGGTTATGTGTTCTTCATTTACTGTATGGCTTATAGCTGACGTATGACAAATGATTTATTAATTGATAAAAAACTATAAACCTTTTATAAAGGGTGCCTTCAGTAGAAAGTGTTCCCAGTATATGAACTGACAAGAGAGAGCTCTGTTGAAAAGGAGCTGTATTAAAGTGTAGGAGGATTTTTGATGTAAACTGAGCAAAGACGTTCAGAAAGCTACAGCTAGCACTTCAGTGAGCCTCTAAATTTCAGAGCTGAAAGTTGAATTATCCAAAAACAACATCCTGCCCTCATTAAATCATCACTTTCCATATAAGTACTGGTGGTAGAGGTTACAGTATACAGAGTAAATTTGAGTTCTTCTGGGTTTAAGTATTCTGACTTCTCTGATTCAAAAGAGCAAAAAGGATGACAAAACCGTGTTTAGCCTTGGATGAAGATGCCGTGCTCAGAGTCCAAAAGAATTAAAGGCTTATGAGATGAAGGGAGGCTCGACACACTCAGGGCCAAAAACAGAAAATGTATTCAGCGCCTGATCTTTGTCTCGATAACAGAAAATGTAGGAGGCTAATGATAATTACTTCCAAAGAAATGGATATTCTATCGTGTCGTGGGAGGAAGAGGCTCCTCTGACATTTGTTATAAGTTATTCACTGATCAATTATCACAATTGTGCCGTTAGCAGAAAAAAACCTTAAGAGAAGCAAAACTGTGGGAACGTTTTTGGAAGAGTTTGGGCCTTTTTTCTTGATTTGTCGATCCATCCAGTTGTGCGGGGGATGCGGTTGTAATGCGGATTTTATTCTAAGATACATGAGCTGGTTTATGGGTTTTCTTTTAATGGTTTCTACTCTTAATGCGACCATCTAATATTTCAACTCTATGGATTTTTATCACGTCATTTTTGGATTATTATTGCAGCTATATTCTTGTTCTGTTTATCTTTTAAAGTGTGGACTGCAGTGAACAGTTTGATTTATTTGTAGGTGCTGCAATCTCGTTTGACTGTATCATATACAGGATTACATGTGATTTACCCATTAATTAAATTGTAAACTATAAATAAGATTAGAACTGGTGTAGTTATAAAATTTGGGGTGGTAGTAAATGAATCTGTGCTTTCAGGGATTTGTAATGAGGAATGCATGATGATCAGTTACATTTCTTTATAAGAAGCTCAGCACCGATTAGTGACAAATATGAAACTAATTGCACAGAGATGAGAGAAAACACACCACCAATTATTTCATTTACCCAAGTCCTGCAAATCAATAACTCAATTACTATTGACTAAGTCAAGTCAATTCTTATAACACATGAGAAGATATGTCAAGGCACTTCAAGGCCCTAAGCGACTGCTGGACTGAACACCGGACTGGCCAACATTAAAACTCTGCCTCAACCTCTGACAAACACTTTGACTGTATGAAATAAAATGAGGGAACCTCTGGGGGGAATATGCTGCCGGCCTCGTACAGCACGAGCTCTTCAGCATAAATTGAGAACAGAAACACATTATAAATTCATTTCTAGGAATGCATTATTCCACAGTGTTTTAGTAGCTATTCAAATTTAATCATGTTTGAGCAGCAGCGTCGCAGGCGTAGCACTCATTCCTAAACACCTCTTGAGCGCTACACAGCGAGAAATTCAGGGCACCGACTCAAACATCTCAATTGGCTCTGGTGGTGTGAGTGGCTGTAAGTCCGAGGCATATGTGCCTGGGTGTGTCTCACACATTGTCTGTGTGTGTTGGGGTGGGGGTAGTGGTGGTGGTAGTAGGATGCTTGAGTGGAAGCAACAGCTGCACAGCGGCTCACTTTTCTGGGTTTGCTTAATCTTCAGTTGCTGTCGATGGTGATTAAATGCTTAAATGTTTCTCGTGATTGAGCAACAACATTACTACGCTCCTCGGGTGATCTGAACTTTAAAAGAGTTTTTACTCTGTTTTATGCTACCTGTCTTTCACTTGTCCTGTTTGTCCAGAGACGCACACAGAGGGCCGGAGGCTCGAATATCAAACAGGGGTCTGCAACATACGCATGGGGGAAGGGAAAGGAGTCAAAGTCTGTGGGAGCTGCTCAATTTTCTTTATGTCATTGGTGGTCATTAAACATTACCAGCTGTCTGCAACCACCTGTACAATGACACAAATGGTGAGCTAAACGTACCACGATTTAAAAACTGCTGCTTTCAAACAAGATGTCTTTAAGATGTGGCTAATGATTTATTAATGGTTAAAAGAATAAGTCGACATTTTTCACAAACTTTTCTTCTACTTGTCTCTATCTCTGTGCTCATCTAAGTCTCAGCGAGGAAAGAAATAAGCACAACATTTCCCACGATGCTGACCTAATGTCCTAATGCTTTATAGATAAGTTCTACGCCGTACCCTTGTCCAGTGTTTATCCTGCCGAAAGAGAGGAGACACAAAGTGTGATATGGATCGTCTGAAAGCACCTGCTGTCTCCAGACATTTAGATTAAGGTCATTTAAAACGTCTGATAGCAGCAGTCTGCACATTCTTATGATCAACAATGATTTTGATAAACTATTTTTTTTTTTTTAATCACGTGGCGGAGCTGACTCGTGTCTCAACACAAGGGCTGCAGCTAACAAGTATTTTCATTTTTATTAGTTACCAGATAATTTCCTGATTTATAGATGAATCATTCAATTTATATAAAATGTGAAAAAATAGAAAAATGCTTGTCAGATTCTGCTAAAGTCTAAGGTGTCATCTCTAGATTGTTTGTCTGAATAACAAGTATTAATATATAATTACACTATTCATTCGTGAACCTGTTAATAGAATTGAGGCTTTGTTTATGATTTAACATGATAACTGAAAACCTGGACAGCTGCTGTTATTGATGGCTTATGACTCATTAATGAAACATTTGGAAATATTAACCATTAATTACAACCTGAGGCTTTTTATAAAGAGTGTGTCTTATTAGAAAGTGGTACCAAACTATTTTCGCCTGTGATTCAAAGTTACAGTTACAGCATGTCAACACACTACAGACAGTCTGTGGCTGTGGGATGAGGTTACAAGAGAGACGGGCGATCTGTGGCAGAAACCAGGAGTGTTGTCCCCAACGTGTCAAAGCGCTGGGAATCCTGGAAGAAAAACGTAAAAAGAAACCTTGAATCCTCAGGCTTGCTCACACTTTGTCACACTTGCCTCTGAACACACTCTGAGGATTGAGAGCCACCTGTTTGACGAGTGATAGACAAAACAGCTGCGCTGCTGCCTGACCTTCAGCCAACACACACACTCCGCTTTTTTTGTTGAGCAAATTGCTGACACAGACAAACACACGTCCACATCTCCATTTTCTTGCTTCTCGCTCACTCCTACACGCCCACAATGGGCTGAACAGTTATAAACCCAGGCAGCCCTCAGGGAGTGTTAAAATCTTCCTTTCAGCACATACACAACTCAAGAAAGATGCATGTGTTTTGTACAATAATAGGGTCAAGGGTCATGACTACTCTCAATGTACAATGATTTTTGTAAGAAAGAGATAAGTGGAAGTGATTTGTCACATATTTTTACACATTTATTGAACAAATAATACAATCAGATACATGTCAAAGTGTATTTGTGTGTGTGGAAGGTTACGCAGAGGTGGTTACTGGCTGGTCGGAGGTGGAGAGGGGGGGTGGGGTCACTTCCTCAGGTCTTGGCACATCCACCTGTGTAAAAAGAGAAAAGCCACGTTAGATTATGTTAACCGTTACTTTAATAATCATTACATCCTCTCTCAAACCTCTTTGCTGTCTTTGGTGAACATTGGATTAAGTAGAAATGGCTTAAAGATAATCTTTAAAAGGACATTTCCACAGAGATGTTGGAGGGGTGTGGGGGCATGATGCGCCCCACAGGGAAAAATTGGGAGAATCTGTTTGCAGTGTGGGCGGCCGTGTATGAGCGCCAGCTGGAGGCAGACGGGGGACATGCTTCCCTACTGCCTGCAGCCGGCTCAAAAACATGCTCACCCACGCCTCGCTGCTTTTATAAACCTGTTTCTGTACCGTGGCACATGCAGGCGGTGGACAAAACAACAACCTTTGAGATTTACAATTTAACGCATTTGAACAACAAAGCATTAAAAATATAAAGCTGAATCAAAAGCCCTATAAAACTGTCTCATAAAAAGCTGCTGTGTTGAAGGGCGACTGTACAGAAGCGCATTAGATCGTGAGGCGATCCTGTTGTTTTGTCGAACCCTTGGATCTAAACTTGCAGGGGAAACACATACATTATATATAATCCAATCTTAATAAACAGCAATATGAGATTTATCAATTTGAAACGTCTAAATCAACCTAAAGATTCAGTGTTTCTATATTTTGTCACTCCATTAATACAAACCAGCTGTGGCAATTCAAGAACGTTGATATTTCCCTTCTCTCTTCTTAACTTACTTGAAGGAGGAAACTGGTAAACTTTTAAATTATAACAGTTCACTGCCTGGATATACTAAACTCCCACACAGTTTTCTTGTGCACTGAAGGATTATTACTGACATTTTGGAAGTGCTGACTTTCAAATTTACTTTCCAAATAAAGTGGTTTAGATGGTTTAGATAATCTGAGTGAACTGTCGGTTTGTTTACAAACCGTCTGATCGCCTGACTGATGGTGTTTCTTGTTGGACTTTGTTGTAGAAATATCGTCATTACTTTAGTGAGCAGAGTTTAATCGTGAAAGCTAGAAATTATGGAAAATATGAAAATAAGACCCAAGTTACAACAAACTAAATAATCCTGTATAAGCTTGATTCTCCACTGGGTATTTGCCTTAAGGCAAACTCACTCTTGGGGTGTTTTATCTCAATTGACCAAAGAGACTTGACCATAGTAGCAACAAAGAGTAGTTAACACAGTCACAAGAGCTTTAAAAATACGATATTGATATACTGACTTTAATTGTGCACACACTTGAAAAGGTAAAAAAGTGTTGCATTCTGGGTATGAGGCTGCTAGCAAAGTTGTTCCTCATCTTCATCTCTGCCTCAGTGTTTTACTGATAACCCCAAACACACTTCATAATTACACTGTACTGTGTGGGTTGTAATCTAGAGCGTTAGCAAACATTTTTAAATGCAGTGTTAGAATACCTGGTATCAAGGCAGCCTTTCCAAATGCAGTTTCTGTTGTAAATTACTCCAAGTCCAGGGTGCACGGCACGAAAATGTAGCTTGTCCAAGTTCATAAAAGATTCTAGCGGAGTTCATCGACAATGGGTTTCAACATATCTTCAGTGAAGCGACTGAGCCAAAACTACAAGGGCAAGACTCGAGTTGTAATAAACCGGAATTACACTTTCATGTGTGAAAACGCAGAAATAAAATACTGTACAATGAGCCTGTGTCTCAAAGTGTGTTTATAATCCAGCCCTGCAGCTGTTTGATATTATAGCTTGATGTCTCACAGTTTTGTTCTGCCACATGAAAGAGAGACAGAAACACTGAACATGACAAAAACAAGCCAGCGTCTAGTGGTTTTATAGAAAGACAGAAAACATTCATATGGGCTTTAATGATCTCCGCCTGCCAGTGTGTGTTCTCGAAGGAAATTATGTGCATTAGTCTTGGTTTGCCTACGTATACTCAAATCACTGCTGTACAAATGTCCTTCAGATGGGTTTTACATCTTCTACTGATCAGTGGTGGTGATGCTCTGTAAACACACGGGACAAGAAGGACAAGACGTCTGCCCTCTATTCACATCATATGCACACTCAGAGCAAACATTACCGTGTCAGGTGATAATATGGAAGAGTGTCCTCTCTCACTATAAAACTGATGTCCAGCCGCCTATGCAGCAGCTCTGCATGCTAATCCTGTGCTTGTAAAACCCCCAGAAAGACATGATCCAAGACATTATTAATGTCTGTCCAACTCTGATGTTCATACCTTTGTCTTAAATAAAGTGCTATTTCAATTCCCTGGATAACCGTATCTCTGAAAATAAAATGTAGGCCACAGAGCACAGTATGTCATCAGTTGCCAAATCAAGTGTGTCTATTAATGAGTACATTTTTTTTTTTTCATTACGCAATCAGGGATGCACAGAGAATGCCAGAAAGGCTGCAGCAAAATATATTTCGCCTAGATGGCTCCATCCAAAATTAACTCGTAGCCTAGTTTGAATTTGAAGAATTTATGCTTCTCCTTTAGAGCTCGAGTCAAACTTGGTTATGCTCAGACAGAGAAGATTCAACTTCGCATCAATCCGAGTGTCACGGTGTACAACATCTAGAATGAGATGCCTTGAACCTAGAGAGATTTAAAAATACTTCTCCCTTGGATCTCGAGTTAGTGACTGTGTCTTTGATGTCGAGTTCAAAAAACGGCAGTTTGTCCTTCATGACGAGGATGAAACCTGGTTTTCCTGAAGACTACAGCTCACGCTGCATCTCCTCTCTCCGTTTCGTGCCAGAATATAAATGCAAAGCAATAAAAATAGCCATGTTAAATTCTAACCTCTGGATACTTTGTCAAATCTGAAGTGGTGGCTGCGGCCAGGGAGCAGGCTGGCAGAACGTGGAACAGACAATAATTTGGACAAGTATCCAGCATCTAGACCGGACCAATGCCCCAAAACACTCACAGCCCTCCTTCTGTGAGCTGGCCTCAGCGCTTCAGCTTTGATGTCACTGCTGTTGAATGAGATACTGAGATATTTGTTGTTCTTACCAGTTTCTCTGCCCGCTGCCTCAGTTTCCTCCACACCGTGTGGTGAGCCTGCAGAGAGGAGAGAAAACGTGACTTGCAGGCACATGTAGACACCAATAAAGTACTTTTACTGCATCATACACTTCTGTGCAATTATAAAGGACAAGCATTAATAATAAAAACAATAATCTCAAGGGGAGGCATTGCTGGCTGAATCACTTTTTGTTCGTAAAATAAATTGACTATTCTTGGTGGTAATGAAGCCTGTTCTTGCTTAAAGTGATGGTGCCAATAGATGACATTTAAATTGATATTCAACTTTAATAAAACTCAACCAAAATCCATACTGAAGAATCTTTAAGTAGGTTAGAATGAATATAGTTTCACTGATAAGGCAACATTAATCAAGATTTTAAAATACAACTAACAAACCTTCTGGTATGTAGGTGTACAAAAAGTTATGGAAAATCAAGAGACACACAGAAAGCGTTGCCAGCTCAACTTTCTGAGAAATCCTGTTTGTTCAAGAGCTGTTCTGTCATCATATTCCACACACACATCCCTACCTGCAGCTGCAGAGGCAGGGAGAGGCCCTGTGCTCGACGCTGGAGGCCAATGGGTCCCTGTCCCAGGCCATGGAGGGCCGTCACCTCGTACTGGGAGCACAGGCCTGTCCTGGCCACCAGAGGGCCCCCACTCAGCAGTATATGGTCACCACATCTACAAAGGAAGGATTTGGGAGGTTAGGTGAGAGATACTTAGATGTACAGAAATATAACAAGAACCTGACACTACTCTGGGAATATGTAGGCAGAAATAAAGTTCTGAACCAAGATGTCTGCATGTCACCTGTAGAGCATCACTGTGCCTTTGGGATTTTGTGCTGCCTTCTGTTCCACCTCTTCCTGTTTATACCTGGGAGAGACAGAGAGAGAGAGTTCATCACTGTGGTTGACAACAACAGTCACCATGTGTTTTAAGAGCATACTGTGGTGGGAGAAAGAGAAGAACACAAAGATATAAGACAGAAGGTCTGAAGTATGAAGCGAGCAAAAAGGAACAAAGAGTAGTGAAAAGAGATATGTAGGCGTATCAGAGGTGAACAGCATGAGCAAGAACAGGAGTCAGTTTACCTGCTGTGTGAGAAGACCTCCAGCGCCACAGAGGGCGCGACCTCCAGAGGCTCCCAGGCCAGATCCTGGTGGATCAGCTGCTGAGCGCCTCGGGTCAGAGAGCGTAACGACTCCTGGAGAGAAAAGCAGTCATTTTGGTTTGAAAGCACAACTGTTACACTCACATAGGATCAGGTAGAGTAAGAGACCCAGGTGTCCTGTAATCAAAGATGTAAAGCAACAAAAGCTCTGAGTCATTCCTCCTCTGCAACTGCTGGTGACAAATAGAAGCTTCACTTCAAAGGTGATAATAAAAATTCACACTGCAATAGATCACCAGCTGCCGCTTTTCCTCACACACAAAAATGAAAATAAAAATTTAAACCCTAAAGATGCAAACACTCCTTTTTTTTTAACCAAAATACAAACAGACGGAGTCAGACATGGTTTAAATTAAGTTGTTAGCACGACAACAGTAACTTTATTTAGGCCAAACAATGGTTGCAGGAGGGGTCTATTTTTTTGTTGTGGCTCAACATATGTAGTGTAAAGTTAGTCTTTACTGCAATAAACTTTTATTTTTCAAATGCATTTATATCTTAAAACAAAGCTCTAGCACCAGCTGATGGAAACAGAAATTCTTCATATCTTATTGTTCTGTAAAGGAAAAGGTTTCTTTAGAAAGTTGATGGGAACAAGCTCAGTAATGACTGCAGAAGCTTTATGCACACCTCAGAGGGAGACCATGAATCCAGCTGAGGGTCGAGTGCCACATCACAGCAGAAGGCTCCTGAAACGACTGCAGGGAAACAGATGAAGAGGGAACAAATTAGCAGAGCTCAACTGAAACCTCTGACCTCTTGTCAAAATACAAAACTTACTTTTCAATTAAGTAAACTAAAAAAAAAAAAAAACTGAGGGAAATTATGTTCGATTCAAATTAAAACAATTAATGTCCAGTTACACAGTAATACAAAAACCACTTCCTGTTTTTAATCACATTCTAGTCAGTCTGAGAACAAGCACCAGACACTGCATCTGACTGAGGCTCTTTATTCTGTCTGGAAAAAAAAGGTCCTGGCAGTGTAGTAAAGGACTCTCCCTGATTTACTAAGCTACTGGTCTCTGATGCCTGGTCAGACATGAAGAGGAGCTCCCTCTACCTGGGACCTCTGGTGTGCTGAGCAGCTCCACAGTATAGTTATCCTTGAAGGCGTTCTCCAGCACCTGACCCAGCAAGGCAGCACAGGAGCGCCAATAGGCCTGGGACAATGAGAGGACACGATTATTGTCTAACCTAAGACAGTCACTCTTTTCATGATATCCACTAATTGATTTAACAAAACTGTGTTTCCTGTTAAGTGGGGACAAGCCAAGAAGGTTGGTAACAATCTCCAGGATACTATTTCTAAGAACGTGTACATCAAGAGAAGTTGACAGGTACGTGAATGAATTTAGGTATGTGCTGAGCATGAAAGAGAATTAAAGAAGGCATTTGTAGTATTTTACATGTATATTTGTTGAAATTGAGACTAAAGACAAATTGACAGTAAAAAACAAATACAAAGGTTCTGATTTCAACCAGTTTCTCAGTTTGCAGAACACTCACACCATTCTTTTGTTATAGAGTTGTAAAGTTACCTGGTTGACCAGTGTTGGGTCATTGTCTTTAAATGTGAGCAGGGTGAGTGAGCACGAGTGGGTGAGGGGCTGGTGGAGAGGCCACAGTTCCCCGTCTACCAGGGCCAGAACTGAACTGGTCACATGATACTCTGTCAAGTCTGAGGGAAACACAGGGGAGTTCATTTAAGTACAAAAACTGGTATTTACTTATAGTGAAACAACTTATAATAAATTATTAATACATGCAAATGTGTGTCCCTTTCACTCACGTCTGGCACAGCTCAGTGGAGTGGACATCCCCCTGTTCATGATGAGCATCGTACCATCCAGCCCCGGGCCCTGCATGGACACCTCTATCTTCTCGATGCGAGGGTACAGAGCTCTCTGCCTCGCCTGCTCTCTGGAGAAGACAGCGTTGCGCTGGCTGTGGACCTCGGCAGCTGGTGGACGCACAGCCGCTGCAGTAGATGCATAACCTTCGGAGGGGAGGGAGGTGGGGAACAGGAGGAGCCAAAATAAACAAAAAGGACAACAGAAGACTCGCTAATGTCTAAAGTTTGTGTGAGACGTTATGGGCACCAAACAAGCTGCTGACTTGCATTATGGGAAGTGTAGTGTCATTTTCTCTTGTCGCAGTAGGAAATAGCACAGGTGCATCTTATAACACTGATTAGCAGAGCTCGTGGTGTTATGGATGCTAGGTCATTGGGATACCTTACCGGGACATTTAATGTTACTTATATTTACTATCATTAATTACACATGTACATGTCCTGCTATGTCAAGTTAAAATGTGTGCTATGAAAGAGATATTCTATAGACACTGCTGCAATATGTAGCTACAAGCTGCCATTACAACGTCTCTAGCTCACAAGCTAATGCTAACTGATTAACAGTTACTTACGGCGCTGGAGAAGTCGACACACGGTCCTGGTCGCCATTGAGACAAATATTTCTACAGCAACATAAAAAAACAAGTGGAAATAGAGACAGAAGTACAAATTGATAAATGTCCGTTACAATCTGCAGTGGCTGAAGGACGCCATGCCTGCTTCGTGTGTAAAGTATATTTAGGTCCGGGTAGGAACTGTCAGAAGCTACAGGGTTCCATGTGACCTACAAAATGAACTGCGGTTCTAGTTTATGACAGCAGGTGTCGCTGTTGGCAGTCGTTTCAATGAGGCTTACATAAAGGAAGCCCTGCAATAATTATTGTATTCTGCAGAGAAAAAAAAAAAAATCACGATCTGTATTAGCACCATTTTTTAAGCAAGGCAGTTCCTAACAACATAATAGATCTTTCTACAATATTTATTTGATGTTGCCATAGGCTCTTGTACTAAAGTTTTGGAATTTATAGCATCTCTCCACAATTTATTTCTGAATGACCTCACTCTCTTTCATAAGTGTTAAAAGACTGTTGCTTTGTGTTGAATCCAAAGTTATTATCTTGGCTCTGAAGTCTCACATATCCTCAATTTCATCCTCTAATGGACTCTAATGGCACTCAGAATTTGACAAATGCTTGTTGGATTTTTCAGGACCAGAATCAGCAGTTAAGTGTTGGCACTAATGGCAGAAGCAGGAGCAGCAGGACACTGAGGCAGGGAACACAGCCGCAGGACCAAAACATTATAAATCATCTCGACGCAGGCCGTGATGGAGCCAGATTACTGCTAAATAGCGAAGCTGAAAGGCTATTTTCACAATGAGCACAAATCTCATGACCTGTGGAGGTTAAAGTAAAATAAGAGAGGTAACTATGGCACTTAGGATGAACTGCTTTTACAAAACACTTGAATTAAAGAAAATATGAGGAGTCTCTTTTTCAGTGAGTGACTTCAAATGTTCAACAATAAATAAGCATGACAAATTTGTGCATAAAGATTTATTTTTGTTCAAAATAAGTGTTTCTGACATTGAACCATTAACATGTCTGATGTGATTTAAGATAAATGAACTACACACTGACACTGATGTTCACTTCATACAATGTAACAAGGCATTTGTATCATCTGTAAGGTGTAAAGACAATTGTCCGTACATTTTAATGACTGATTGATTGACTGATCGGTTGATTGATTGATGCTGTCTCTTTGGGTGAGATTGATTGTACTCAATGTCAGTGTGACAGTACAACTTTCATGCACACATCATCCACAGTATGTCAACATTTGGGATCTTCTGAATGAATTTCCCCAAAGGTGCAGTTTCCTTTTTAGACATTCGTTCATCTGTTCATTCATTCATAGTTAGGCGGGCCTGCTGTATAATGAACTTCCAGTACGACTCCTTCACAGTGGTGACATCCCTTCAGATACTTGGTGACTGGTCTTGCACTGTCAAAAAGTCCCAAAAGTGCAAAAAGAAAAACACAAGCAGAAGAAAACAGGGCCAATAAAACTGCTGAGCACACCGCCATCCCCGCTTAGACCTATGGCTGGTTTCCCAAAAGCATTTAGCACTATGATCTGCTTTGTCAATGGCTTTTAAGATGGTTTTGGCACCGTGCTGCCTTTGGGAAACCCCCGAAAACTCAATCTTGTTAATCAGGAGGATGGTGATGGATGTGGGAGGTCAAGTGTTGTTTTTTTCTTTCACGGGAATATCCACCCTGTGTCGGAGGAGTGATGAATGTTGACATTTAATTTTCTTTAACTGGCATTGTCTACTTCTGCTACGTGATTTCCTACATTTCCCAGAATGCTTCATAACCAACTCAAAGGCCTGAACTCTTACATACAGAAAGCAGGTAGAAATAGTGAAAGCAAGAGTGGATGTTTGCTTTGAACCCCTCCATCTTCAATCTATCTAACATGAATTAATTTGCATCCTAATTTCTACTCTCCTCCCATCCATCACCCCCCCCACCCCCCTAGCAGATGGATCAGCTGCTACTGTATGCTGCAGGTGGGGCAGCAGGTCTCTCTCCGGTCCGGCAGAGGGCAGAAGTCCATCTGCCTGACGATCTCGGCGAAAAGCTCATCCACCATGGTCTTGCTCTTGGCCGACGTCTCCATGAAAGGGCAGCCCCAGTCCTCAGCCAGCGCCTGGCCCTCGCTGGGGGACACTTCCCTCTCCTCCTCCAGGTCCACCTTGTTACCCACCAGCACCACCGGCACCTGCTGGTACCTGGAAGTAAGAGAGAAAGTGATATCAGAGGAGTGTGCATCTGAAATTTGCTGCCTTCTCCCCCACTGGGAAGGTCTTGTTAAGGACTGAGACGACAGGAACTTCCTGATACCTAAGGGAGAAAACCAGAGGGAAAAACTCAGTGATAGTGTGTGCGTGTGTGTGTGTGCATTGTTGGCCTACATACTGTATTTGTTAGATGCTGAAACAATAAGGCTTTTGAACAATGCACAATGGAGTGAGAGGCGAGGGATAAACACTACATTCAGTCCCAGCTTCCCAGGAGGCCTCCATCACTCCCTGGGTGTCTAATATCAGTAGGCGGTCCCATTAGAAAACTGTCATTGCAAAAAGAATAACTGCCTCTTTTGAATGCTGTGAAGCTCTATGTATTCCTGGATACATGCGTTGGCACTGCATGCAAACTGCAACATGTAATGGCTTCCAATTCTTGTTTAAAATCATTAGCTCTCCACTTTGCATCACTTCCATCATGCACTAAGCATGTCTTAACGGATGAAAAGCTTTCTTCCCCAGCGTGTGGCTGACGATCCCAGTCCTCCTCCCTACGAGCCATCAATACAAGGAAACCAGGCTGGGGAGAGTAATGGAACAGGTTATTGAATAATTGAATAAAGCTAATGTGCTGCTCTCACATGGGAGGACATGAACATTGGCCTCGTACCTTAGAAACAACAATTTTGTACTTCATATTTAGATTTGGCAACTGTGTACTCCACAAAATATCAAAATATCACAGCAGCTTTTTAGTTGAGAGGAAGGGTTAACACCTACAATTCAATAAGCAGGTCCTTAAAGGGACGTTTCACTCAAATCACATAGAAACACAGAGGTAAAAAAACAAATACAAAACAATACTTAGCGTAGCATTTCGCAGCAAAGATATCCCAGATATTTTTTTCTCAGGAGTTGGTGGAGACCAAAAGAAACTGAGCTTAAAGGAGAGTGAACGTGTGACTTCCATTCGTCAGGTGGCCACAAGCACAACTCTAATTAAATGCTAATGTTGCTTTATAAGATTAACGCCCATGGTTTTTGGAATGAGACGATTAACGGTCACATAAAGGTGTAACATTTGGGTGTCCTTTGTACATTTTTTTTCTGTCTCACAAACACTTAGTTGCCAAGTAAAAACAGTTACTTGTATATTACAGTATAGTAAATCCATATATTTCATTTCAGTTAGACGCCCTTCATGTTTCCTCTTATTAAATAACTACAGAATGTCAATTATAGACAGTATATATTCTCACAACAGGTAATGGCACAGACCACCTAATAGCCTCTACCATCAGTCACTCCTAAGTGCATTCAGAGCCTGACTTATTGATCTGCTGGTGCTATTGAGAAATGAGCTCTTATCTACAAATTGGTGGCCTGCTGCCACGCTGCTCAGCTGGGAGAAGAACTGAGGCGTGGAAAAGACCTGGCAAACGTCTCACTGTGCTAAAGAGGGCCAGAGAGCTGGAGGCAATGAGTGTAGGCAGCAGAGAGGTGGAGAAATGCGCATAGAGAGTGTCCTATAATGGGAAGTCCCGGCGTGAAGGACACGGAAGCACCTGCTGCACCTGCTGAAGTGCCCTTGAGCGAGACAGCGAGACCGTAGAGGTTTCAAGGATGCAGCTCTCTGGTTGAGCTTGACCTCTGACAACCCCCCCCCCCGAGGAATTCACCACGGACAAAAAGCTTCCCAAAAAGTGCAAATGCTTAAAAAATTATGTCAGCAATTCCTGCCCTAATTGGTCGACAAACATGCGTTGAGACGAAAAGCTGGGAAAACTTGCTCACAAAGGCTCAAATGCCAAAGACTTCCCGGCAGTTTGACATTTTCCCCCCACAGCCACTTCACTGCACAACACACGCACGCACGCACGCACGCACGCACGCACGCACGCACGCACGCACACACACACACACACACACACACACACACACACACACACATACATACATACATACATACAAACAGCAGCTGACCTCAGCAGGACAAGCATCTCGCATGGCGCGTGTGTTTGGAAAGCTGGAGTCTGGAGGGTGTGAAGTGTGAACAAGGAGAGCACCATGCAGACAAATTCAATCTGACAGCCTTGCAGGATAAACTCTATATATAACTACAAAGACACAGGGAGAACCAGCATCTCCAGGGTGGGGTTTGGAGTTTGTGTAGAGATCGTCTGTTGCAGCATCAAACTACCGCTCCCTCCTCGCCAGATGAGGAGAAAGTGAAACTGCTCGACACAGCATGAAGAAAAGTTGGCCCACAGGGATTTACAGACTGATATCATTATTCAGAGTATCAGTGAAGAATATGTCAGTCACGTCAGTGTTTGCAGTATATTACACTTTTGTTTAAGAAATAAAATGATAATTTGTGTGGATCTTCCAGTTCTTTGTCAGGGTATGTACCTTTATTTTTAAAGGTTGGGACTTTACTCGGTAGCATTCCTCCTATTCTTTATGATAAATGCTTTTATTTTGAAACTCTAAAGCTGCACCAAAAACTAAATTCTACATTAATGATCAAACAAACGACTATGTACTATGAAAATGGTCACTCACAGAAACAAACCAACAGCTCCATGCTGCTTTAAAAACAGCCCCTTTAACCCTTTTAGCTCATTGTTTTGGTTAGCTGTCTTTATGGAGTCTCCCAGCTCTCATCAGCCTCACTTCCCGCAGCTGCAGCAGTAATTACTGGACTCCAAATAAATGCTAATGTTGCTTCACATTTACCAGATGTTTACATAGGCAGCTACTTTTTAACGTGTTCAGCATATCAAGTTATCATCTGTGAGTACATTATGCATTAAGACATTTCTTGCAATGGCCATAAACCCAGTAAGAAGGGTCCTCTTGGCTGTTGTGGCTTTTAAATTGCTGGCTACCGGTGTTTATTCTTCTGTAGTGTTTTTAACT